CGAACCTACGCGCACGCATGCCACGCCGCTACAGGCCATAGGTACACGCATCGGCGCGCACACTAATCCTGCGGTGCACGCATGATCCAAGTTCACGCCCGCAAACTACGCGCCCGCAATGCCACGCCACGCTACAGCTAGCGTACCACGCATGCTCGCGCACACTACAGTGCGCTGCGTTGCACGCAATATCCCATTCAGCGCCCGCAACCACGCTCCCGCCATGCAGCGCACGCTACAGCTAGGTACACGCATGCGCGCCACACCACTACAGCTGCGGTGCACGCATAGTACACTCCACTTCTACAACTGCTGTCGCTCCATGCCACACACGCTACAACTGCACCGCATGCATTCGTTACTCGGTCGACGCATACCTCCAGCACAGTGCAAGTATGTCAACACATTAACCAGCACACTGTCGACGACAGACCTGTCTCATGTATTATTTGAGATTTGAGGGTTTACACTGAGGTTATGCAAATTCTCATCTCCCATTTCAACATACACACACACATACACACACACACACACACACACACACACACACACACACACACACCCACCACACACACACAGCACACACCCACACACACACACACCCACACACACACAGCACACACACACACAACACACACCACACACATATATATATATGTATAATATATATACAGTTTATCAAGGGTTAGCTCTGGTAGTTATACAATCGGTATCCATGCGACCATTTAGATTAGCAGTAGTGCGGGTGTAATACCCAGGAGTAAGCGAGGATGATGGTCGCAGGATGACGAGGTGATGATGAATCGATGGCGACGACTGATGATGATGGTTGATGATGGATGATGCCATGATTTGATGCGACGATGGCATGATACATGAATGACAAACCATTACCAGCTACACACGGAGGAGGCCGCGTCGAGTGCCTATAGTCAGTAATGTGGAGTTATATACGTGGCCTCACTACGTGGCCTGGCTACAGACGCCAAACCACCGCCAACCCACGCGCATGCGCACACGCTACAACTGCACGGGATTGCCTATTCGTAACTCGGTCGACGCATGACTCACACATGTAAGTATTCAACACATAAAGCACAGCGCGACTTCGACGACGAGACTTGATTTCGATGTTTATTTGCAGATTTGAAGTTTACACCTTAGTTATGCAATTTCCACTCCCATTCAAAAACACACACACACACACACACACACACACACACACACACACACACACACACACACACACACACACACATACACACACACACAACACCACACACACACACACACACACACACACAGCACACACACACACACATATAGTAATATATATGCTATATATATATATATATATATATATATATTATATATATATACAGTTTATCAAGGTTTAGCTCTGGTAGTATACAATCGGTATCCATGCATCATTTAGATTTAGCAGTTGCGGTGTAATACCCAGGAGTAAGCGAGGATGATGGTGAGGATGACGAGGATGATGATGACGATGACGACGACGATGATGATGATGATGATGATGATGATGACGATGATGATAATGAATGACAAACCACTACCAGCATACACACTGAGGAGCCGGTCAGTGCTATAGTTAGTAATGTGAGTACTATACGTGGCCTATACGTGGCCTGGCTACAGACGCCAACCACGCAACCCACGCTCCACGGCCCTGGTAAACCAGCGCTTCCTAAAGGGATTTCTGCAGAAATAAACCTGCATTTATTTACTAGGAGTTCCCGCATTTATTCACTAGTGGTTGTATCGTGTAACACACTATCGGGTTGGGAAAAAAATTGGATGGATTTTTTTAACTATAAAAACGTGGTACCTACAAAAAAAAAATTCTCCATCTTGAGTGTGTTATACGATACAAATACCAATAAAAATAAATACGCAAAACATAATATCTTTGCAAATCCTTTAATCTGTTTTCGAGCCCGGACCGATTCGGCTCTTTGGTTATTTTCTCGCCCGGACCGATTCGGTTCTTTGAATATTTTCTCGCACCCTTGTCAAAAAACCGTGACGTAAGACTGTTAATGGCAATTAAAGACTCGAATTTATATTCAGAATATATCTCGCAGTAAGAAGACTAGAAGAAGTGAAACAAACAGCAAAAAGTAGTAAAATACGACACCTAGCTGCAGAGGAAGAAAACCCCTAATTTGACTAACCTTGTAGGGTTACACGTACCAGACAACGCGTATAATAGTCCCTTAGGGGCGTGTGTCTTGTATCTCAGACTAAAAATCACTCCAAGGGCGCGTAAACAATGTGAAGGTATTATGAGTGGACCGTTGGGAAGTTGTTGAGCGAATTTGTGCTGTGTAGGCCTGGAGTTGCTGCGTTACTGGAGTTAATATCGAGGGAAGCACTGCTCGAATGGCTCTATAATGGCTCTAATTATATATCAAATATATATATATATATAATTTACAAACCCTATGTAATTATATAATTATATGGCTCTAATTAGTTCCATGTGAATGTTGCTGTGACGTTGCACGCTTGCCGCAGACTGTGTAACACTTGCCTAGTCACCACACATTATCGTGACGATTGCCGCGTCATGACAACACGCAAACACGCTTTCGCGTAGGTCCTATCTTACACAAATTAAAATACATGATAAAAATGATGGTGTGTATCATACAATAATATTGAGAATAACAATTGGGAAAAATAACCGCCCCTTACTAATT